CCAAAGTCCTTACTGGGTCTGACTAGTTCTCTGCATTGACCAGCGCCCTTGCCCTCTGCTTGGCCAGATTGTTCCTCAGACAGGCCAGGTGCATTCCCAATCTCAGGGCCTCCAGCTTGGCATCCCCTCTGCCAGGAATGCTCTTCCTCCAGATGGCTGTAGAGTTCACTCCCTGGCATCTCTTAGATCTTTGCTTGAAGGCCACCTCCTCCTGAGGCCGTCCCGGAACCCCTCTTTCAAGCAGCGCTCACTCCACTGCCTAGCCCTTATTCTGCATCTCTACATACAGCACTTTTTACTGCCCGGCGCTCTACGTGTGTTGATTTACTGTCTCTCTGCTATCACCCAGAAAGTTTGTTCCGAAAGAAGACTGTCTCATTACTGTTACATCTCTGGCCCTGGAGTAGCCCCTGGCAAATCTGTACTCAGTACTTATTTGCGAGACGCATGGACTTGTAGAACAGTTCCACAGCTGTCCATCACTGCTGTTCCATACCTGGCGATGCGGCCCTTCGAAACGCACCGGACATCTGGGCAGACCAAGGATAATGTCACAGGTAAGTCAAATAGAGCCTGGGAAGGTGCAGCGATTGGCCTAGGCTCCCAAAACTGATGACCCGGGAAGCTGGGGCCTGCGCTCTGCTCTGTGGTGTGGCTTTGCGTGCTGCGCAGCTGACCAGAGCACCTTTAGAGGAGCCACTGCTCATTTACCAGTCACATCGTCGTGTCATGCACCGCTGACAGGAGACCAAACCCAGGGCAACATTCTCATTCCCCCTCTCCATGAGCGTGACCGGTGGGTCTCGGTCTTGCCTCCGCGTGGGCTGTACAGGACAAGGGCCAGAGCCTTGCAACCCCACCCCCCTTCCAGGGGTGGTCTCCCGGCAGCCCGGCAGAGGGCGCTGTGGGACAGCGTTGCTGATCGGTTGGGGACCTGGGTCCAGCTCAGCGCCCTGCGCTCCTGCTGGGTCAGGACAGGCGAGGGCAGGGCTGCGGGGCGGGGCAGGCTGTGGAACTTCAATGTCCTGTGTCCGCTACTCTCTGCCCTGTGCTCAGGTGTCTCCTCGTCCAGGGCTCTTGCATATTCTTGGAGAGCTTTGCTTGGAAATTGTGTCTTAAGCTAGTGAGAAAGTGACTCGTTTTTGGTTTGCATGAGGCTATGGTTCCAGAGTTAGAAAGGGAGGGAGTGTTGGTTTGCTGCAAAGAGTTTAGGGATGAATATTGAGTTTGAAGTGCTTGTGGCACATTCAGAAAAACTGTCCAGGGGCTGGTTGGATGTGCGAGTTTGACATTCTGGAAAGGGGTTTGGGCTGAAGATACAGGTGTCATCAGCGGTTAGCTGGTAATCGAATCCTCAGAAGTGGATGACCGTGTGGAAGAAGGGAGGCAGAACAGCAACATTCAGGGGACAGGTGACAAAAGAGGGCTTTTAAAGGAGACTGAGAAGCTGGGAGAAAAACAAAGTAGGAAAGAGGAAAGTCAACTGGTGAATGCTTTTGATTGATCAAGTGAGACTGAGCTATACCCTTCAATTAGATCTAGCCAGTGATCTTGTTAGTTCAGAAGATGGAAGCAGTTCTCCTGGGGAGGAATCTTAGAAAGGCTACTACTGGGAGGGTGACATTCATATCTATTGGGCTGCTATATGGGATGCTCTCCCTATTGACTTTCACATGTTAACTTGTCTAGCTCTCATGACAATCCTTAAGTATTAACCCTGTACAGTTTTTTTTGTTTTGTTTTTGTTTTTTGTTTTTGTTTTTTAAATTTTTGAGACAGGGTCTTGCTCTGTCTCCCAGGCTGGAGTGCAGTGGCACCATCATAGTTCGCTGCAGCTGCAAACTCTTGGGCTCAAGCAATCCTCCCACCTCAGCCTTCAGAGTAGCTGGAACTACAGCTGCATGTTAGCCACGTTTTCATTCATTCATTTGAGACAGGGTCTCCCTTTGTTGCCCAGGCTGGAGTGTAGTGACGCGATCATGGCTCACTGCAGCCTCAACCTCCTGGGCTCAGGTGATCCTCCCACCTCAGCCTCCTGAGTAGCTGGGACTACAGGTGTGCACCACCACACCCAGCAAAGTTTTTTTTTTTTTTTTTTTTTTTTTTTTTGTAGACACGGAGTTTCCCCATGTTGCCCAAGCTAAATTTTCTAAAACAATTTCTAAAATAATCAAGACTCAGATAAAAAAATCTTACCTAAGATCACCCTGCTGGTAAGTGGTAGAGATTATCCCTAGATCGATCTACAACTTGAGTCTGAGGTCTTTTCACTACTTCTTTCCTCTATGTCCACATCCTGCCATGTAGGATAATTTTATTAATTCATGATTAGGTTGAACAAATATTTGAGTGTTTACTGGGCACTGTTCTAGATGCTGGAAATGCAGCAGTGAAAAAAACTGTCAAATACTTCATGCTGTTCATATTCTAGCAGGAATGATATAAACATGCAGTATGTCACGTAATGAGACATGGAGATACAAAAAGAGGGATGAGGATGTGCTTAGTTTTTAAAATATATGTGAATTTCTTTCCTGCCCTTTATGATCTGCAGGAGGTTATCAGAATTGACAATGAGGACTTTACTAATAAAAGTGACGTTTGAGCCAAGACCTGAGGAAGGGGAGAAAGCCAGTCATCCAGTTATCCAGAAGAAAGGAGGAACATAACACCTCCAAGGTAAGAAGATGCTTGGCATGTCCTAGGAGCAGCAAGGCCAGTGTGGTGGGAGCAGAAGGATTAAGTGCCAGCAGTAGGAAATTAGATCAGAGAAACAGGTCGTGGGGCAACGATGGGGAGAGGGGTAAGGAAATCAGATGCAGGGCGATGTAGACCGAATTAAGTATTTTGACATAAAAATCCCACTAGGTGGGACGCCATTTGGTGGGTTTTGAGCCAAGTGGTGCTGTGTTGAGAAGACAAAATGGAGGCGAGGGCTAAGCAGGAAGGCCAGTTAAGGCTACTGTGGTACCTAGGTGAGAAATGAGGGTGGTGGTTGAAGCAAGTTGTTCAATTTCTAAAATGTTTGGAATGCAATCAACATGATTTGATGCTAGACTGGATGCAGAGTATGACAGCAACTGAAAAAGTGTTGAGATCAGGCATCTCCCATTGGAAACTGAAAAGCAAGAAAAAGGAGGTGTCCTGGGAACAAGTTAACACTTTCAAGGAATGAGTCCAACTTGTCAAATGCTGCCTACAGGAGGAACAAAACCTACTAGATATATGGAGTTACTGGTGACCCTGAGAAAATTTTGGTGTGGGGAACCTGGGGGGTGAAGCCCTACTGAGGCTTAAGAATGGGCAAAATTGGACAACTTTCAATTTTGCAGTATATAAAGGAAAAAAATTGGGGGCAGTCAAGATGTGCAATCTTATTTTGAAGTCACCATGAAGTGAATGAAAATTAGTCACTGCATGCTGATACTAAAGACCTTGGCCATCGTGCAAGGTACATCCCAATTATATCCAAATACTGCCATTCCACAGTATGGCAGGTTATAAAGTGCACTGTTAGGTGTCTTTAGAACAAGGTAGCAGCAGTATTATACATTCTCTACAGGTTATTTTGAGTAGCTCTTGACACATATGTGGTGGTAAGATTAAAGCATGATTCTGTAAGCAATAACGAACCACTACGCACTGGGTTTAGTTTTTTATTGAGACGGAGTTTCGCTCTTGTTGCTTAGCTGGAGTGCAATGGTGCCATCTTGACTCACCGCAACCTCCGCCTACCAGGTTCAAGTGATTCTCCTGCCTCAGCCTCCCAAGTCACTGGGATTACAGGCATGCACCGCCACGCCCGGCTAATTTTGTATTTTTCTGGAAGAGTACAGGGTTTCTCCATGTTGGCCAGCCTGGTCTTGAACTCCAACCTCAGGTCATCCACCCACCTTGGCCTCCCAAACTGCTGGGATTATAGGCGCAAGCCACTGCACCCGGCCCAAGTCTAACACTTCCTTTAGTCTGATACCCTGGCTGAATTGGGGAAATTCCGGCAATAAGAGGAATTGAATAGCTGATCCATCTGTCTAACCACTTGCGCCTTTTGCTAGGTTAAAAATTAGTTTCCTCCCCTTGGTGGGGAAGGTTGGGCAGATAAACAACTTACAGCTCTTTTAAAATCTCAAGTAGGTTCATACAAATCTCTGCTTAGCCTTAATTTTGCTGTACTCAAAGTACTCACCAAAAGCTTATGACTTTAACAAGGTACCATAATGCAAGGTTTAGCTTCCCTGGCCCAAGTAAGACAGAAAAACATTGATTGGCTCTGCCCACCACCCGTAGGAGCAGGTGCAGGCAGCCTCTTCTGACTTCAAGTTTCTGATGGGTTCAGCAGTGATCATCTGCCTTGAGGGTCTCCCCCATCACCAATAGGTTGTTCTTCGGTGTTGACATCAACCAGAACTCCAGTGGCACACTTCAAGAGTCCTCATCCATGCCAATGTTAGAAGTAACCCTAGGATTGTCAGAATGTTCCAGGGCTGGAGGGAAATCCTTTATATGTGCTTTTGGAAAACATGCAGAGGTTTAAGTTGAATCAAAAGTCAATTTTACTGGGACAATGGAATTTTTCCAGGGGAAGCAGGGATCTTCCTGGACATTCAGGGGCAGCTACTGGGAATGATGCTTACAGGACAGCTAAGCTTATCCAGACATCATCATGTATTTCAGTCTGACAAAAGATAAATGTCAACAAATTGTAGTTGCTATGTGTAGCAATGTTCCTCCACATTCATGAGACTTGTAATCTTTGATTATAAAAATCATTTATATTGGTTAGTTTTAGTAACTCAAAGCAAAAATAACCACCTTAATTAAATCTTGGGTCTCATCATGAAGAGTCTAAAAATTCCTTCTGGAACTCAGGCTTGTACAGCAGAAAACCAAACATTTGAAAGCCTGTAAGTCAAACTAAGGTGGGTCTCCTATACCTCAACAACAAAGCTGACTATTCTCCCACAGATTGTCGATGCCATTTACAGCCAGCCACACATCACTACATCAAGTATCACAATGTTTATTGATAGATACAAGTATATAAAATCAGGGCATGAACATGACTTGATAAATTAAGTAGACTTAATTTCAATACTATAATAGGAGGGACCAATTCAAATTCTCACCATTTGTTTCACACCCACAAAAACCACTTCAAGGGCATTAACGATCTCTCAAAACTGATCAGTTTTGTGCAAGTAAACCATGTTTCTTTTAAAAAGACTTGTGCACTTGCCCAGGCTCAAGGATATTAAAATCTAGCACATAAAGCCCATTACTAGAGGTAGAAATACAGGCAATATACTATTACGGCAACAACCATCAATTACAGTTAAGAATTTTTCTGTAACAACCAAATGGATAATCAAATATTGCAACAACTCAAGTATTACTGAGCAAAGTGCATTTCTACAGTATTCAGTGTTGCTATTCAGTTTTCTAACTTAAAACAGCCTATGATAACTGGCAGCAAAGAAGGTCCTTGCAATAGACTGCCTCTGCTTGAGAACTTATGATGTAATTATTGCATGCTGCTAATATACTATCTAAACATTAAAGATACTCCTAAAATATTTGATGGTAGACTATGATTAAGACATTACACTACAAAAAAACCTTATGCAGAAGAAAATCCTAACTGACGTGCTTCTGCTTTAAATATTGTGAAAACATTACAGCGGAATGAATTTTCGCAGTGGTTAGGTCAAATGCAGTTACATCATAGCAACAGTATGTTTTGCACAATTTAAGGCTTTGGCTGGTTCTTTAGTCAGCTTCTTCCTCTGATTCTTCTTCTTCAGCAGTTTCTAGCCAGGTTAGCCACTGATTCACCTATAAATTAAGATTTGTAACTTAAAATAGTTCACAATATAAATGGAAATCCATCCAGAAAGTTTTAGGTGGTACTACAGTTTTAGAATATGAAACAAGGACATCCTTACAACAATTTGTATATTAAGTTATGCAAACAGTGGTGTATTATCCAGATTTGGGACAACACAGAGCTAGATATAATCCTGCACGGATGAGCCTCATGAATCTAGTTTATAATCAGAAATAAAAAGGTAGCAAGATGCACTGTAGGACCAATGTTTCTCAAAGCCTGGGCCCCCTGGAAAACTAGTAGCATGAGAATCACCTGGATTTTGTACATAGACCTACTAAACCAGAATCTCTGGGATTAGGCCTGGAACCTACTTTTAAACTGCTCTTCAGGTGATTAATGCATTCGCTGTGATTTGAGAATGCCCTGATGTTCCTCCCCTAGGGCTACCATTTCATTCAATAAGACACAATTAAATTGTGAGAAATCAAAAGCATCTCTTTTTAAAAAAATATATATTTAAACTGTTTTTTTTTTTTTTGAGACACAGTCTTATTCTGTTGCCCAGGCTAGAGTGCAGTGTTATGATCTCAGCTCACTGCAACCTCTGCCTCCTGGGCTCAAGACATCCTCCCGAGTAGCTGGGACCAGGACCACAGGAACATGTCACCACGTCTGGCTAATTTTTTATATTTTTTAAAGACAGGGTTTCACTCTGCTGCCCAGGCTGGTCTTGAACTCCTGAGTTCAAGTGATCCTCCCACCTCGGTCTCTTAAAAGTGCTAGGATTACAGGCATGAGCCACGTGCCCAGCCACAATTTCCTCTTTATTGACGTTTTTTAAAAATCTTAAATCGAAACTTGTACAGTCACTCCCATCTATATCAGTAGCTATACTCCTTGAAAAATTTGTTAGCTACCTCTAACATCTTATACACCACTAGAACTGATTCACTGTGTAGCTTTACTTAATCATAGCTTTAAACAGTGCAGAATGAAATGTATGGGTGAAGAAAAACTACTAACTAGGACTATCTTCCCTGTATTTCAGTTGAAAAAGGCTCTTAACTTGAAGTTAATACCAAGCAAAATGAAATAAGCAGACCAAATTTTTAACAAAAGACTTACCTGGAACAAAGCCTTGCCTTTTCCCGGAAACTCTTGGGTTATATCTTCTTTCCAAGCCAAGAAAGCTTCTTCTTCAATAATCTCCATATCATAGAAGTGCACAAAAAAGCGAAGTAACATGCCTTTAAAAAAAATTAAAAAGTAGTAGTAAGCCCATTATTTAGTGTGCTGTTTAAGACTTGCCCCACACTACTCCTCTGATACAAGTCCCCTCACCTTTTGGGAAGTTGCTGTTATAGCAGTGCACCTGAAGAGCATACAGGGCGCTGACTTGTAGATCAACGTGATCATGAAGAAATTTCTGCATTACTGGCTTGAAAGAAAGAAGTAGTTGTTTTTCCTGCTCTAACTGTTCTTTGGAAGGAGCAGAGGATGAATCTGTTTCATCGCTGGGGGGGTTTACTTCACTAGAAATGTACTGTAAGAAGCTGGACAGAAAGAGGTCTTGTTAGAACCAAACAGCGAGTTTTCTTGCTTAGTCTCCTGCCTTGTAGACATTCTTTTCTAGTACATGAAACATTACTACATATAGAAAACCATCTTACCTAGTCATTAAGATGTTCACAAATCCTTTATCTACATGAAGTTTGGGAGAGATGTTATCTTTAATCCATTTATATATGGTTTGAGGGGATGGATCCAACTTTATTTGCTTCAACAGTTCCTTCTCCAGTTTGAGGAGTGGGAATAAGAAACTCAGTCCCTTTCCTTCCAAAATCTCCAACATGCGGTCCTTATTCTGATCAATTTCTGAAGAGACAAAACCACTTGCATCATCTAAAAGTTCATTTTACCAAGTTGTCCTGTCCAGAGAACAGAACTTCACAAATGATGTCCCCAAGTATACAAGATCCATGTAGCAGAATAGAGAACCAACCCAGCAAATGAAAAAACTCAATATACGGATCAAATGAAAGTAGTTTAATCATACATCTTTTTATTGGTAAGATCTGCAGTATGTTTATCATTATCTGAGCAGGACAATCAGACCATCTGACCTACATAAATCCATTCGAGGTACTAAAAATCTCTAGATATACTATTAAAAAAACAAAACAAACAAGTCAGCATTCTCTTACCTGGGAGCATTTTCTGCATATTGACCTTGCTTTGTTGAAAAAGTTCTGTTAACCATTCTCGATCTTGTAATTTAGCTAATTGCTGAAGACAAAGTAGGAAGAGAGGAAAATGGGTGCCACTTTCTAGTGGTTGAGCTAGTTCTGAAATGCTCACCAGCTCTGAAATGATGGCACGAGCTGCAAACTGTGCTAAATATGATTTCACCAAGGGGATGTCAACCTCCAGTTTGGGACACTGGTCCAATACATTCAGGAAAGCCTTAGAAGAAATATACAACAGTTTATCAGTTCTCGAATTTGAGTGCTAAGAGTTCTTACCACACAATCAGTAAAGTGTCCTACCTGCATGAAGTTGTCACTTGTGGCTATCCCTTCCTGTTTGAGTAAACTGATCAAAGAACTTGCTTTTTCTTTATCTTCATCGCTTCTATCTAGTGACAGGATGATTACTTTGCTTAACATCTCAGGAAGAAAGTGTTTAGGAGCCCTCATTTCTCTTACACCACTGACAGCCTCATTTGCATTTCCACTATTTAGATATTCAGTCACAACAGTTTCCTGTGAAGAACACAAGTATCTTTAATGTTTTCTCTATCTCAAATATAGGCTGATTACACTAAAATGGGATATTTGAAACTTACAGTTAGTTTAAGTAGTTCTTCCTTTGATGGCGGTGGCTTTTTGCTGGTCTTGGCAGGCTTTTCCTGGATAAGTGGTGGATTAGTTTTGAGACCAAGCTGAGGTGTCTAAAAAACAAGCAATGACAAGACATTTTTTAAAAGAAGGAATATGAAGTTAGGGGGAAGAACATACTAAATTTAGAAAAAAAAAGTCTTCAGTCATCTTTAGAAAATAATGGAACAACAGAAAATGCTATCACACTATGGTCTGTACCTGTCCCAGAGGTGGTGTTTGAGTGCGTGGTGGTTGTGCACTAGGAGGAATCATAGTTATCTGGGGCTGAAGCTTTGGCACTTGGTTTTTATTCATTAGGAAAGACTGAGCAGGCCTCAGGCTAATCTGGAATTGAAAATAAATCAAAATATAACTAAATTAACAACATGCAGTTGGTGAACATATTAAATACAATATCTAAAATCCTATACAAACATGACAGAATCTAGGGAAACATTAAGCTTTTTATAAAACTAAAGAAGGCACTCAACAGGTTTAATTTTTGACAAAAAATTTAAAGATCTGATGATGCATAGAGTAGTAAGATACTACTATAAATCTTACATTTATGAGAATTCTCTTAGAATTAGCATGACTAAAATATTCAAATAAAAAACTGCAAATTTAGCCAGTTTAGAAAATGCATTGTTTTATCCTTAAATCACCCTACTTACAAAGAAAGAAACCACAATATCTTGACAACCATTTTCCTTGCCCTAACTAATAGACCTTAGCAGACTTGCCCTCATATCTCATAATCTTCACTCACAGGATGCTGGACATTCAAAGAAAGAAAAATTAAGTACAGAAAAGAGAGAAAAATGTAAAGAACTCCAGCATTAAGTCCTCTTAATAACGCGTCTTTTTATAATCATCGGGCAATAAATTTCTGAATTGACAAACTATGGTATATAAGTAACATAGGCAAATGTACCTCATCTGCATTAAGCTGTCCTTTCTTAGAAAACCGAGGTGGCATATCCTTCGACTGTCCTTGCAGCTGGGATAAGAGTCCCTGACTCTGGTTATGGTAGAGCTGGCTTAGCCCCTATTTCAGAAAAGGAGAAGGTCAGTCTAGATAAAAAGGGGTCCACAAATTACGGTAATCAAGTACCAAAGGGATGAGCCAAGCCAAAAAGAAAGTTTAATTGAATCTGCCCAGAGAAAGTAAAAGATGAAACAGGGAAGAATAAAAATCTAACCTAACTGTCAAAGTGATGTCATTTTACTAATACTTTACTAATCTTAAGGATAAACATTTTAGTTTGAAATAAATGTTGCAGATATGGTTTAGAAAACATGCACACTCCTAAAATAGTTCCATGTTTTAACAGCAAATGAAATCACATATATTGCAGAATTTAACACTTATTGCCTAAACACTCAAATCTTACTTACCTGGCTTTTCATAAACTTGCCTCCCATCTCTCCAAACTGCGACTGTGTGGGAGGCATGATGTGTCCCCCATGGCCATTGAACAGTTGATTTGAACGATGACGTCCCATGGTGGGTGAAAATCTATCCTGGATAACTCCTGGACCAGTACCAATTCCGCTACCTTAAAATACACATACGGACAACTCTCAAAACTCCACTGACAAAGTTAAACTGATTTTTCAGCTTAATGAAACCACTGTTTTTTTTCAAAATTACCTGGCATTTGTCCAAACATATCAGCAAGTCCTCCAAGTGGGTCCCTATCTATTTTCATCCTGGGTGGCATGAACGGTCCCTCCAGAAAGAAGTCACTTCTCATCCCTTGAGCCATGGGAGCAGGAATAAACACCCCTAGATCCTTTAGAAATGAAGTGAATAAGCACTTTTTGTCTCTGGACCCTATTTTACTTAAAACTAAAATTCTTGCAACTGGGGGGAAACCTAGAATATTAAAACCGTAATTTATGCTATTTCTGTAAATAACTTCTTCCAAAAATGGGAGACAAGGCTCGGCATGGTCGCTCACATCTGTAATCCCAGCACTTTGGGAGGCCCAAGCCTTGGTTTGCATGAGGTCAGGAGTCCAAGACGAGCCTGGCCAACATGGTAGAACCATCTCTACTAAAAATACAAAAAATTAGTGGGTTGTGGTGGCGCAGGCCTATAGTCCCAGCTACTGGGGAGGCTGAGGCAGGAGATCGCTTGAACCTGGGAGGCAGAGGTTGCAGTGAATCGAGAATGTGCCACTGCACTCCAGCCTGGGTGACAGTGAAATTCCGTCTCAAAAAATAAAAAAATAAAAATGGAAGACAAGACACTAAAAACATTAAGCTCCGCCACTAAGATGAGACAGACCCCTCAAGTGTTCGGGGTGGGTGGGGAGGAATACCATACTACTCTACAAACACAAAGTCTATGTGACAAAACAAAAACCCAATCTTACTTTTACTGCATCTTGACGGATTTGATTGATCGTCTTTGGTCCATTGTCAAGAAAAGCCTTGCGAGGAACCCAATGGTGTTCTCGCAACTCTACGGTATCCTTTAATTGAAAAATATATTTCAATATTCCTAAACCAAAAACTCAGCTTATCAACACATTTAAAGAAACCAGTTTTACCTGCAGCAGGAAACGAATCCTCGCTGGCAATTCCTTACTTAACATCAAGGAGCACATTCGGGCAAAGTACTGATCCATTAAGGACTGGTAAGGGAAGAATACACTCATTGGAAGAGCTAAAGCAAATGTGTTCAATTTACAGTTTTAAGACTTCTAGATTACAACCCAGTTAATGGCTAAATATGGCAATCCCCTATGATGTCACAAAAATAAATAGCTTGATTTAAAGACAAACTACTTGTACTGCTTCCATCAGCTACACACATACCTTGGCTCGTTCATGGTCTAATCTAGGTCCCACTGTCCTCATTATCTGACAGAGGCACTCCAAATCCTCTCCCATATCTTTGAGTTGGACTCTCTTCTTCTTTTCCAAAAGCTGCAAGAATAAAATGCCGTGGTGACAAAATTTTACAGTTACTCTGGTTTAGGTTTCTGGTACTTTCCCTTTACGTTTGCACTGACTCATTCACTGTTCCTACAGAATCTAGTATAGTGCTTTCTACCAATCTGATCAGTTCTAACCCTACTTTGTCAAACACCACATATTTCAAATTATTATTCTATGTTTGGTAAATTTTGTTGCCCATTTGTATTTAACTAGTCAACCTCCCTCTCAGATGAATAATTGACTCATTTCCCCTAAATAATGATTGACTACATTCACCTAAGCCTAACTTCCCCGTCACACTTACTGTTTTGATGCACTTATGAAGGATAGATTCGTGAATAAGATCAAGCTTGCCAAGCTCTCCAATGAATTTGATGTTTCCCAACATCTTGATCTTAGCAATGGCTCTCTGTTCCTCCTCCTCGGGGAGGAGGGGATTTTCACGCTTATCATAGACTGAAAAAAATAACAATGAAGTAAGACAACATTCAGAATTAAGCTGAAAATATACAGTACTACTTAGTATCAACTGTAAGTCTTACCATCAACATTTCTAGTTCGGTTTTCAAATTCATCTTGTAATTTGGAAATTAGGAGGCGTCTGAATGTCTAGGAAAAAAGACATTTGTCATGCCTTAAGGAAATTTTTCAAGTCAACTTTAAAACAAGCAAACAAAAACTACCACTTACGGTGCTTTGCTTCTGTCCTGGTTGACCCTCTGCTGCTGGGCCATCAAAGTTTGGTGCATCTTCTGCCAATCGCAGACATAGCTGAGCATACAGTGAGCTATACTTTGGCTCTTCTAGGGCTTTGTCCACAATCTACAGAAAATGTCATTGCTTAAACTAAATATGAATACTACTTCCAAGAACCCTTCCTTTAGGAAAAATACAACCACCTAAATGTTAGCTATTACACTGTACCAAAAATGTCCAGTTATACCAGTTCTCATCTAGTCACATCCATCTCTCCAGGGAGCCAGAAAATGGCATGGATATCAAAACTTTCAAGTCTACATAAACTGTCATACAATGCATTTCCAAGACCAAAATATGGTGTTTTCCACCAAAGAGCTTGCTAAGCACCACCATTTATCTCTTCAAGCATAGTATGAACATTTACCTCTTTAATCTAATGCTACTGAAGTCAGTGGTTCTTTCTAATCACTATCAGTATTCAAAAATCACACCTCAGGGTTTTAAGTAGTAATCCAAGTGTAAAAAAACACAACTTGAGTTTGTTAAACAGTTCCCTCTCCCTTTTGAGTTAAGCCAATATTTAAAACTTACCAGCAGTATGACCCCTTTAAGGATGAGTTTAGACTCTACACCCACATTGAGGAGCTCAAGGCATAGCTTGTCAAACTTTTCAGGAGTAAGCTTATTTAGTATGCTGGAGAAAAAGGAATTACATTTTAAGTGTTAGCTAATACACAGAATTTGAATTGAAAAACTGCTTTTAAATTACACTGATTTTTCTTCCACTTGCTCCCTTTAATAATCAAGACATGTTTTCTTACTCATCTAAAACCAAAGGAATGCTGAAATAAACCTGTTATTTTAATTACAATGATTTGAATTAGATAGGGGGGTTCCCAGCTGTTTGACAAGAATCCTTTCTCACTTTCTCAAGGTTAGAGTGCAAAGATCTCATTATCAAGGCTAGACCATGAACTAAGACCATTATATTCCCTGCTTCACTGGCTTAAATAACATAGCACTTCCCTTAGCCAGCGCAAATGTTAGCACAACAGGATTATGGATTGCAATCCGATGGCTAAAAGCAACCGTAAGCCCAAAAAAACAACGTTCAAGATACATTTTTTCTTTTTTTTTTTTTGAGACAGTCTTGTTCTGTCACCCAGGCTGGAGTGCAGTGGTGTGATCTTGGCTCACTGAAACCTCCATCTGTAGGGTGTTCAAGTGATTCTCCTGCCTCAGCCTTTTTAGTAGCTGGAAAAACAGGCGCCTGCCACTACACCCAGCTAATTTTTGTATTTTTAGTAGAGATGGAGTTTCAACATGTTGGCCAGGCTGGTCTTGAACTCCTGACCTCAAGTGATCTGCCCACCTTGGCCTCCCAAAGTGCTGGGATTACAGGCATGAGCCACAGTGCCTGGCTAGTTCAAGGTACCCTTGCCTTCTTAGTAGTACAGCACACACACCAAACACAGTTAATCCATACTATTTCCCATCTTTTAGTAAAACAGACCTTCCAACTTACCCTCTTACTTTCCTGAAGATTGCATCATGTCGTTCTTTTTCGTTTGCGGAGTTGTTTGCTGCGGAGTTGTCATCTCGTCTAGTGCTTCGTGCAGGAATCCATTTCTGAGCGTTTTGCCCTGGGGTTTTCCCCAGGAACTCGCTAATAAAAATTAGCAATAACACTTATTTTCACACAAATGTTAAACATCATAAATTCTCTCAAACAGAGAAAGTAATTTAGGCTTTCTCGACTTCCCCTCCCAAAAAGTCAACTCTGGAGATCAGTGGTTCTGTAAGGGTAGTGTGCCATCAGAATCACCTGAAGGGCCTGTTAAAACAGATTGCTGGGCCCACCCAGTTTCTGCTTTCACTGGTTTGGGGTGGGGCCTAAGAATTTGCATGTCTAGTAAATATTCCCAGTATCAACGCTGTGGATCCAGGAACCACATTTTGAAAACTAATTTTTTTTTTTTTAAAAGAGATAGGGTCTTGCTGTGTTGCCCAGGCTGCTCTCAAACTCCTGGGCTCAAGCGATCCTCCCACTTTTGCCTCCCCAAGTTGTTGCTGGGATCACAGGTGTGAGCCACTATACCGGCTGCCAATGAACACTTTCTAATGTTTTACTGACCGTGTTGCATGTGTACCACTTTACTAATACCAATTAGTAGGAATAATAGCTACTAATTTTGGAAAAAAAATTAGTAAAAATAACCCAAAGAATAAGAAAAAAAGTAAGTTTGAGAGTCTCAACTCATTTAGATAATTTGGCTAAGGAATAATCAAGAGCTGATATTCTATATTTAGGATACCCAACAGAAACCATGCCCCTTAAGATTAGGAGTCTTGATGGCTATTGCCTTAATTACACCATCACATGGGAAAGACTTTTAACTTAATTTGTTAAATAAAACTCAGTTTTTTTTTCCACATGTTTACCACACCTGTTGCCAGCAGTCTTGGGATAGTGCTGAGGTGCACCCCTACTTCCTCCTCCGCCCGAAGAAGCACTATTTAAAAGAAAAAAACTTTTTAGTTTACTGTATCCCAACTATGTCTCAATCAAAAAGAATAAACCATCTATTTTGTGTTTTGCTTTTCTTGTAGAGATGGGGGTCTCGCTATTTTGCCCAGACTGTAGCCAGGCCTGTATTTTAGTGTTCGTATGTTATGCTACAAATGAAGACTAAACTGGGACCCAAAGGAAAGGCAAATACTTGATTTTATTCTTCAGATGGCAGTTCTTAGAAGGCTGTCAATGAAAACTTAAGAACTTTTCAAATGAAAATTGCAGCCCATTAAGTCGGAATTATTTGCCATGGTATCTAAGTTTTGGGACTGGCCTTTTCAAAAGGATTCCCCAAAATCAATCTAGACATACCTGAAACGAGAAGCACCCCCTTCTGCAATCGCACTCTCCACTTTGGCGGCTTGACAACGAAGAATCTTCAAAAGAATAATATTAATAGATGGGGTGGGGAGGGGAGGGGATGGGAGAAATGAAATACCTGGAACGAGAAAGAGCACCAAAATGAGACACTTCTAACTAACATACAGATCTATAAGCCTTCATTCAATTATAACGTATTTCAGATCCTGGCACTGTCACTGCATTGCAGATCTGTAAGACTAACCTAGGATGTACTCAAAACACAAATAGACAATTACATTTTGTTTAGCCACCTGGAAATTCCCCGGTGTTCAAGGATGCAAAGAGACTTCGTAGAACACAAGAGTATTTCAAACGGCTCAGAACGAATCTTTTGAAAAACCCACATTCTACTGTCTTTAAAACTGAGCACTGAGATCAATAGAAAAATCTAACTATAGACACGAGCAACATCACGTGGAAAATGTCTGCCCTAGGAATTTTTACTGCCTCGACGAGGAGGCCAGCGACTGCATGAGGTCTCTCCGAAAGCTCTTCAGCAGTTTTCCCCTGTCCACCCTTTCGCCTCCTCCCCGTGGAGAGCTCGTGGAGAGACACGCGAGAGGGGGCCGGGTGTACGGGGCTAGCACTCGCAAGCGGAAGACCTGGGCTACAACATGGCAGCAGGAACCTCCGCCCCGTTTTTCCCTTCCTGGGAACAAAAGAGCGGAGCATTCCTCCCACCCAGGCGCAAGTTAGGGAAGTGCTTCCGACAACCTCCCCGCGAGGCCGCGGGTCGCTCGGCTGGGAGGAGCAGCTGAGGCCGCCCCCGCCGGCCCGGCGCCCAGCTCTTTGTTCTCCAGGCAGGAAGGCGGCCTCCTGCCCACCCGCCGCCTCCAAGCGGGCCCCCTCCTGCCCCATAAATCCCCCTGGGACTGACAACCGCCTCGCCACGGCCTCCTCGGCTGACAAAACAAGCAGAAATCATCACTCTCTCTTTTCCTCCCCCCAAAGGGCAGCCCCGCCGACTCCAGGCCCAACACACCTCCCCGCCGGGAGGCCGGGCTCCGGGACACCTGCGGTTCCCTGGTCCCGCGCCAACGGCCGGGCCCTCCCTGCCGGCCCGCGTGCCTCCCGCCTCGGCGCTCGCGGTCCGAGCCGCGCTCCCTCGCCGTCCCAGCACACCCGTGCCTCGGTCCGCCACGGCCTCGGCCCTGCAGGGGTCGGCCATCCGGCCATGACCGCACGGCGGTCTGGCCAACACTGACGTTTTCCTTCTACTCCGTCAGCAACAGGAAGAGATAACAAAGGCCAAGACTTTCCAGGTGTCTGAAGCGCAGAGGAAATGCTAAAAAAGGGTCGCCCCACCCGGCTCCGCCTGCGGCCGCCATTTTGTACCACTCGAGAAGAAGCGGCCAGGGACGGCGGCCATTTTAGAGCGCTCCACTCGGCGGCGGCGGCGGCGGCGGCTCCACTCACCTTCACCGAGAACTCAGCAGCTGCCACCGCAGCTGCCTCCTCAGGATCCGGTCGTCGGGGATAGGGAAGGGAGGGGAAAGGGGAACGGAAAACAAAAAAAAGGGGGAGGGAAGGGGAAGGAAGGAATCGGGGACGGCCTGAAACTCAGCTCAGAGGAGTCACTGCTGCAGCCGCCACCCGGTACCCACCGCCACCTCCATAGAGCTCCGACTCACTGCTGGCGCTGAGGCGTGTCTGAAGCCGAACTTATCACTCTTGGGGCAGCCGAACCCACCAGAGCCGCCCCGAATGGCTCCTTCGCCGCCCAATCAGCGGCCCGGTTGCCGTCTGCCACCAATCCGCGCAGGGCAACGGGGAGGAGCCACAGGGCTGAGCTCGGTTGCGGCGCAGCCCCGCCGCAGTGCGCAAAGCCATATTCGCGAAGTCTCTGAGGCTGAGGCAGTGGCGTAAGGGGCGCGGAGCGCTGCCGAGATGTGGGCTGCGTGCGTAAAGCCGGAGAGCCCTTTTGAGTCTGCGTTGGTGTGGCTGCTGCTTCTTGCTCCAGTCCCTTTGTTCGCTGAGTCGATATCCCATGCTCCAGTTGTATCATCCCCTTTTCTCCCGACCTCGTTTTCTCACCGGGAATATGGGAAGAAAACGCACCTTTACCTCCCCGGAGCCCTGTGCGTGGCGAGTGAGCATTGCTTTTCTTGGCGCCCCTTGGAGCTGTGGCTGCCCTCGCGTGCCTGGCCTCTCCAGGGGCCGGGCCCGTCGGGTTGAGGCCTGGCGCCCCCGGGCGCAGTGCCGGGACACTACCCAATTCCAGGTCCTCGGCTTCGGCAGCCTTAGGGAACCCAGAGAGTAGTGGGGAGGAGGCGAGACTTGCGCCCTGATGCGAAAGGAGAGCTTCATTCAGCTCCTTATTGGCCCACCCCCTGCAGAGTGAATGAGAAGGGGATGAAAGGAAGGGGTTGATTGTCTTTCTTTGTACCGCACACAAGAAGCAGCTTTTCCCATAGGAATGTCCCGCTGGCGGTCACCGAGGAAAACACCCTGTGTGTCAGACTTCCGCGGGTGTTTGGAGGATTTCAAAATGCTGGCTCCTGGGTGGTTTTGTTTTGTTTTGTTTTTTAAGTGCACGTTAAACATTGTCAGTTGTGTATTTTCATTTTATTTAGGGTCAACCATAATAAATAGGATTAGGCTTTTCAAAGCCGGCAAGTTGAACTTTGTATACTTCTCAGGTAATGTGTTGATGGGTACCTTATTCCATCGGTTGCGACACTGTGGCTACACTAAAATGGAGTCATACTTCCATAAACTTAAACAACAAAAATGTCCCCATCTCCATTTTAACATGTAGTACTTTCACAGTGTATAGTCAAAGGCAAGAATGTGTGTGTTTTAACATGAATGACTTTTAAAGAAAGTGTTCAGTAAGAGGCAGGATTTTCAAAGACCCAAACTTAACCTTTGATGTGTCAAAACAGCTCTTGGTATTAGAGCACCTGGTCCTTAATACAATTTTCAGGAAAATTGCAGTTTTTCCTGCGACATTTAAACGTGATAACAGAAGGCTGTGGTGTGGCTCTACAGGTTTCTAATACAATTCCAGCATCTGTAGATCTTTGCTATAGAATAAAGTCAGCATTCCCCACCTTACTGTTACTACACTTACTGCTATTAAATCAATTTTACTTGAACTTTAAAACTTGGAAGAGATATTCTAAAAATATATATATATATTTTGGGGTGGTGGTGGTGGTGTAAGTTTTGTTTTAAATACAAGAGGTTTCACTTTGTAATTTTTTGGACCCTTCTAGCTTCATGATAACACCAGAATAATGTTTCTTTATAATTTCTGTAGGGCTTTAAGGTTTGGAAAAATGAATTTAGTATATGTGATATTTTGACATAACTGGTTTACATTCCATATATCTGATAATGAACGAATACATTAGTTTACTAGGAAGAGTAGTAGTCAAAAACTATTGTCTAGACTTCAAAAAGAATATTCACCTAGCCCTAAAAGTCGGATGTTCTTATAATTAAGACACTTAAAATTCAGTAATTAAAAATTTAAAAAAGGTTTTACTTAATATTTTATTTAATCTTTGCTAATTGTGAACCCTTTTGGTATGGGCTTTGCAGATATGAGTTTATGTGAGAAATTGACCTGGAAGGGAGTAACCTAAGGTACAAAGAGTAAAAATACTGATAAAACAATCTTTCAATTACCTTTCTGTCACTTAAATAGAAAGATTTCAGATTGAAATCAAACCTGCAAAGCCCATTGCAGAAGGGTTCACAATTAGCAAAGATTAAATAAAACATTAAAACCTTTAGGAAAAAAATTTTTTTTTGAGACAGAGTCTCACTTTGTCACCCAGGCTGGAGTGTAGTGGCGTGATCTCTGCTCACTGCAGCCCCTACCTCCTGGGTTCAAGCATTTCTCGTGCCTCAGCCTCCTGAGTAGCAGGGATTACAAGCATGTGCCACCACACCCAGCTGATTTTTGTATTTCTAGTTGAGACTGGGTTTCACCATGTTGCCCAGACTGGTCTCGAACTCCTGACCTCAAGTGAGCCACCCACCTAGGCTTCTCCAAAGTGCTGGGATTACAGGTGTGAGCCACTGTGCCCAGGGTAAAAAATTTTTAATTATTGAATTTTAAGTGTCTTAATTATAAGAACATCCAGCTTTTAGGGCTAGGTGAATATTCTCTTTGAAGTCTAGACAATAGTTTTTTTCAAATTGAAATCTATTAAGTGAGGGAAATAAACATTGAAACTTTCTAAAGTTTCCATCACATCATGGATATATGAAAATTCAATAGCACTTTGGGAGGCCAAGGTGGAAGGATCCCTTGAGCCCAGGAGTTGGAGACCAATCAGGGCAACATAGGGAAACCCCCCTTCCCCCGTCTCTAAAATTTAAAAGTTAAAAAAAGATCCGGATGTGGTGACATGCATTTGTAGTATCAGCTACTTGGGAGGCTGACATGGGCAAATCCCTTAAGCCCAGAACTTTGAGGCTGCAATGAGCCGTGATCACGCCACTGCACTCCAGCCAGGGCAATAGAGTGAGACCCTGTCTCAAAAAAAAAAAAAAAAAAATTGCTGGGCACGGTGGCTCATGCTTGAGCTCAGGAGTTTGAGACTAGCCTGTGCAATGTGGTGAAAACCCGTCTCTACAAAAAATACAAAAATTAGCCTGTGTCCCACATGCCTGTAGTACCAGCTACTTGGGAGGCTGAGGCAGTAGGATTGCTTGAGCCCTGGAGGTCGAGGCTGAAGTGAGCCATGATCATGCCACTGCACTCCAGCCTGGACAACAGAGCGAGATTCTATCTTAAAAAAAAAAAAAAAAAAAAAGGTTGGCCGGGCGCGGTGGCTCAAGCCTGTAATCCCAGCACTTTGGGAGGCCGAGACGGGCGGATCACGAGGTCAGGAGATCGAGACCATCCTGGCTAACACGGTGAAACCCCGTCTCTACTAAAAAATACAAAAAACTAGCCGGGCATGGTGGCGGGCGCCTGTGTTCCCAGCTACTCGGGGAGGCTGAGGCAGAAGAATGGCGTAAACCCAGAAGGCGGAGCTTGCAGTGAGCTGAGATCCGGCCACTGTACTCCAGCCCGGGCCACAGAGCCAGACTCCTTCTCAAAAAAATAAATTTAAAAAAAAAAAAAAGGCATTGTCTGGAATTTAGCTTTTAGTTCATTGAAAATTGAATTTTAAATATACCCACTTCAATCTGCTAGTTTTCCACTTCCATTTTATCAGTTTTCTTTAAGTCCTAACTTGTTAACTCATATATTTTTGCCTTATTTTAACTAATCATGTCAAGTGCTGGTTACTATTCTAATACATACTATTTTGGAAGCATCTACCATCCTCTCTGTGCTTATGAATTCCCTAATCATATACTTTCAGCCCAGATCTCTCACTTTACATCCAGTTCTGAATTTCCAACAGGCTTTTGCTCAGAGATGCAAACTTGAAGCCATAGTTTGGGCCACAGTAGTTTTAAACACTTGAATTTGATATTCACACAAATTTTTACATACAAATCCAGATTTCCATCTTTTCATGAAAAATATTAAAATATGGCAACACTGGGCCTGAAAGTCTCATAGGGCAACGTTCAAGCATAACTAAGTAGAACTGCCTCCTCTCGATGTTTTGATTTCTCCAAGTTGCATCTGACTTGATTCACTCATTTATGTTCCCATCTGGCCTCTATAGCCATTTTGCTTTTTTGAGTTGTTTGTTCAAATTCAACAGATTCCATATGTAAACTGGTCATCTTCCTAAAAGGAAAAGTAGTCAAACCAGTTGAGATCAAATGTCTTCTCTATCACTTACTGTGTAACTTTGGACAAATAATTTAATTACTCTTCCTCAGTTTCTAAATCTGTAAAATGGGAATGATAGTAGTATTTATATGGTTGTTGTAAAGATTAAATGAGATAATGTATGTAAGGCACATAGGTTAGACCCTGACTTAGAATTTAATATTAGTTTCCATATTCTCAACAATATTAACCAGCTGTTTCACAACTACTTTAATTTTGTTAAGGATCCTATTGTTGTTCTATGCTAGAAACTTGACCATATTTTTTTTTGCTTTTGCTCAGATTTAATATTCAATCACTTACTGAATCCTGGTGCTACTTCTCTCTAAATGTTTCTTGCAGTCATCTTCCTCCCTTCAACATCATTGTATGTATGCTAATCCAGCCCTTACTAAACTTTTCTCTTAGATTATTGCAATATTCTTGTTGATCTTCTGTAGTCTTTGCCTACTAGTCTGTATATTCCTGTTAGTCTTTCTTCAAATACCTTTTTTCAGCCAGGCGCAGTGGCTCATGCCTGTAATCTCAGCACTTTGGGAGGCCGAGGCAGGCAGATTACAAGGTCAGGAGTTCGAGATCAGCCTGGTGAACATAGTGAAACCCCGTCTCTACTAAAAATACAAAAGATTAGCCGGATGTTGTGGTGCGCACCTGTAATCCTAGCTACTCGGGAGGCT